CAGTCATGGGTGAAGAGAGTGTATAGCAGAGGGCTCAGAACACACCCCTGAGGGGCACCGGTGTTGACCACAAGGGTGGAAGAGGTGTTCTTACCCACTCTGACGCTCTGTCTGCGGTTAGTGGGTCTAGTGGTATCAAACAGACGGACAGCCAGGAGGTCGACTGAGTGATGGGCCCTGAAATAGGAGGTAAGCACCACCTGTTGATGTATAATACATTTATACATGTATAAATGACTTTTATACAGTCATTGGTCCGTGCCGGGTTATGGCTGAATTCCAGTGGAATGACGGTCCCGCCATAATAGACGTTCCAGCCATGTGTTCCAGCACTAAACCTAACCTTATCCCTAACTATAACCTTATTCCTAACTTTTACTAGCAGTTAAATGACGTAAAATAGTGTTTTCCAAAGCAATTTTTAGAAAATGAACAAACATGTGTAGATTGAGTCCAAACGGTTCTCATGTGCTCTCCTTTTTCCGATGCCGTAATTTAGGAACGTGTTGGGTACCCGAAAGCATAAAATGTTGACAATTTCTCACCTAGCGAAAATTATTACGCTTTGGGAGTGAGAACGTGTCTGACCACTACCCGCACACTTTTGCACCGGAGGTTTTCGGAAAGCTTTTATTTTGGTATTTCCGCTGATCCGTGCAATAAATTTGCATGTTAGCCTAAACATTTAGATTTAACATTTAGACTTAAATATAATATTTAGATTGAACATTTGACATTTAGATTTAACATTTAAAATTCTGTTTTAAATATGAAAGTTACAAATATTTTACTAAATGTTGTAAAAAATGACTTGTTTTGAGCTAAATGTGGAAAAATGTTGCCGTTAATTTCAGCATGTTTCACTTTACAAACGGCGCCCCATACTCACAAGCCAGTCATGTTGAATGGTCACAGTCGGGTCGCACCCTGTCGGTCAAACAATGCAGTATAAAGGCAACCAACGCTAGATTGCCTAGCCTGTTAACGGGAGTCCGAATCCCCGCGGAAGGCCACTCCGGGCTAAAAAATAACCACGCGTCCGCGGCTATTGGTTGGTGCCAAACGCTGAACAAAACTGCACTCCTCGGAGCCGCGCTCCGGTCCTAAATCAATATGTTTACATGTTTTAAAAGCATCACTGTGGGCTCTCAGCCCTCTAGTTATTACCTGATGCCCGAATCGCGTTCTGCTGGTCAATCTGACCAAATACCCTAAACTAAAACTTGCCTGACTGGCATCACAGTCAACGAATATAACATCAATTTAAACACATAACATCTTAACATAAACACCCCAAAATCCCCACGGACACAAACCAGAAGCTCATCTGAGTGAACATTTAATTTATCTTACATTCCAATTTAGCACCTTTGGACATTATTTTAAATCAACAGGTGGTGCTTACCTCCTATTTCGGGGCCCATCACTCAGTCGACCTCCTGGCTGTCCGTCTGTTTGATACCACTAGACCTCAGCCAAACTCCATTAGTCCCTCCTCAAACTGGTTTCGGCACCAGAAAGCACAAGTCATATTAGCCTACTGTAAACACAGTATACAACAATTATCTACACCATTTAGCATTTTTTAGGTTACTGTGACAAGCTTAAACTATGGATTACAGCTTTAACTTTCATGTGCTAGTGTCTTGTTGTTCACCTTTTCAATCCACGATGGTTGTCACTGGCCAAATATTTGTTGTTGTTGTTTTGTTTTTT